GCAGTGAGTGCAAGCCATGTGAAGGTCATTTCATTTGTTAGTAGATACCAATTTTGTATCTAATAGGAATAAGTGCAAGACAGATAAAATTCATTTTAACAATGTTTTGCTTAATATATACAATTATAATTTCAAAATGAAATTTTTAAAAGTGAGTTTATTCTTCTCTCATACTAATTCTTCAACAACTTATGTGTACGTAAGTTATGTGCACATCTCCATTTTGAGCAGCCACTTTTCAAGCATCCACCATATGCTTGTCATTAGTGGCTACCCATGTGTCAGCAGAGTGCTAGAAGGTGACAGAAGACGGGAGGATCCTGGGTTCCTAGATGACCTGGTGGAGCAGAGCTTTCCTTGTTGGAATTGCCTGCTTAAAACCCTAACTTTGCAGCTCTTAGCCTATACCATGACCAAACAAAACATGGCAACAGGTTTTATTTTCTCCACAAAAAAATGACATTGACCTACATCTGATGTTCTGTAAAACAAGCAAATGGACAGTATGATAGTGAAAGGCTCTTGATCATGTAAGTTCATGTTTGTGAATGTAGCAGCATTCATAGCCAGAGCTTCCAACTGACAGTCAGCTGTATACACTGAAGAGCTCCACTCTCAAGCCTTGAAAAATTACATATATTCTCATTTTTGTGTTTTCTTCATACTCTGAAGCTCAAAGCAAAAAATAATTCCATAGTCATTAAGTATTAGGTAGGTATGTATCTTTGTATTTTTATTTTCAAATTTAACTACATACTTAGGAAAATGGGATAAGAAAATATTAAAGAGCTAAATACTGCAAGAAGAATAAAAATGACAAATTATATCATCAACAGTACTTAATTTTAAGACAATCCTATATAATAAAAAGTTCATTTTAAAGGCCTCAGACTGAACTTCTCAGATTCTACATAATCCTTTCCAAATACTTTTATGTGAATATGGTTATATCATATACTCACATAAAAGTAAAACAATAGTTAAATCAGGCTTTTTCCCCTGTGCAATCTGCTTCTGTTTCCCCACAAACAGAAGGAATTGTCTGAGAACTGACAAGATTCTTCACAATTCTAAACAAATCTGGTTTATGGGGAAATGTGTTAGTGAAGCCCACAAAAAGAAAAACACGTGTAAATAAGGACGCACTGCCTTATCCCTCTTGTCCTAAGAGAGGTCAGTTATCCGGCTTTGGGGTTGCTGCTTTGCCAGAGTGTGCAAGGTGGCTGAGCTTTTTCTGCTTCCAACTCATTTTACTGGAGTCCCACAGACCTGAGTGTATACCGACTCCGCTGACTCTTAGCTGTGTGACCATGAGAAGAGGATTCACCCTCTATGAGAACGAGTCTTATTTGCAAATCACATTGAACCGCCAGGAAGGAACCACAGCGAACAGGTGCCGAGACCTGCACAGGATGTTGCTAAGTTCTTTTTCTTGTTTCCAAAATAATCATCTCAAAAACTTCGCAGCACCTACTACGTGACAATTTCCTTTGCCACCGGTCACTTAATTCTCCCAGCAATACTGGCGGCAACCCTCCAAACTCCCTCATTTTACAGACTGACAAATGGTGCCTCAGAGGGGGCACTTGCATGAGGTCACCCTGCAACCATGTGATGGGAAAAATTGGAACCAACTCCCCCAACAGCAAAACCCATTCCACCAGGCTAAGGTGCCTGCTGCATATGTCCCCGAGTGGGACAAAGAAAGCGTGAGTGACACAGGTTATGAGCTCTCTGAAATTCCCGGCGTAGACCAAACCCTCCAGTTATGTTTGAAGTTGGGCCAGCTTTTGAAATCTCGCCTGGACATTCCTTTCTCATCCAATTCCTTGATATTTCCCTTTAAAGAGCATCTAGGAAAAGCCACACTCATTAGCCAGTGCCTGACTTTATTTTCCTAATAAACAGATCTTTGGTCTTGCAGAAAAAAAAAAAAAAAGAAGAAGAAGAAAAGAAATGGGGCAGGGGCTCTAATTTTCAGTCAATTCTTCAATATTTCAGCTCATTTCCCCGCCCCCCCCCTTTGGCTTGAAATTGTGATCTGGGGAAGGCTGGTCCTGCAAATTGTCCTCCTAGGAGGGACGCCCCTTGAGGATCCTCAACTTGTTATTTTTTAATCACTGTAATCTCCTTTGCAAAGGGGGCCCTGGTCAGAAACAGAGCAGGCCATTCAGAGCTTTCCAAAGCACAATTACTGCAGCTGGGGGGAGGGGAAGCGAGAAAAGGGATGGAGGAGAAAAAGAAGTCAAAATTGCAGGAACTGCTTGGAATAGGCTGTGTCCCAAGCTCTGGGGGACGCAGGCAACAGGGAAGAAAGCCAAGTTTGAATAATTGCCAAAATAGTGACCATTTTATTTCTTTCTAGGACACCTGAAGGCTTATGCACAGGGAGAGACCACCCAGAGCAAAGCTGCTCACTGGGGATGGGCAGGAATAAAGAAGTCATGGAATCAGGAGCGTGAGGGATCCTAATTCAGGAAAAGGTTGAAAAGCAAACAGAACCCCAGGGGAATGTTAACTTCCACACCCCTAGGTCAGTGCACTGATCAGAATGCTGTAGGCCTACTATGAACGAAGGTATTTAAAGAAAGGACACATTAACAGAAACCATCACCAACCAGGCCATTGCCCTTTCTGCCTAACTTCGGAACAGCAGAATCAGGCTTGCTCGTAGCAGCAGAGCTCCATAGATGATCTCATCAAGATCTACAAGCATTCCCTTCCAGATAGTTTAGCCATGAGAGAGAGGCGGAAGATGACTGCCCAACCTACTGCCCTATCAGGGGTATCCAAGGAGCTGGAGGTTGCCTTGCCTGCTGGCCCTGGGCGGGTCGGTGGTTCTGGAGCCTCTGCAGTCCCGCGCCTCCCTCCCAGTGCTGGGGCCACCTGCTGCCAAAGATCACCACACACAGGATTAGCGCTGGGAAGAGACACTTCTGAGCCCCTGCCTAACTTAAGTCACCTAGGAAGAAATCTTCTTGGGTTTTTCATTAGGAATAGTCTTTGGCAAGCTGCTAGTGTGGAAAATCTACTCATTCACTCCCTCAATCATTCATCAGGTCCAGATACTTGTTATTCCCTAATAGACTGGAGGGAGGCTGTGGAAACAGGGAAACAGACATCCTAAGCCAAAATCTGACCCGGATCACACAGAAATGCCTTACATCCAACTCAAACTGTCCCACATGGGGTCCCAGCCAAACACCAGGCACACCCATCTTAATAAACTTGTCCCTACGACTTTTCGGAGACCTTGGATAGGCAAGGATTTCTTTTCATAGCTGGGAAATAGGTTCAAAGATTTTAAACCTCTTGCACAAGGTCACACAGCAGCTAAACCCAAGCCCGGACAGTCTCCGGCCCATCACTTGTCTACTGGGGAAGCTGGGGCACTTTTGCCCAGGGAATGCACATCCTGGGCTTTGGGGCTCCTGGCTGTCTTGACCCCTGCGGGAGTGCCTGTGTCTGCGCCTCTGCACGCTTGCAGCCACGGCGCAGAGACACGAGAGCTCCCGTGGGCTCTGGGCAGGCTGCTCTTCTTCCACCTCTCTTCCCTCCATCACGTCGCGGGAGGACGCGTACGCGCGCGTGAAGCCAGACCGATCCTGGTCCAAGGCTGAGGACACTAGCAGGCTCTAGGTAGCCCCGAGTGGAACAACTCGGGGACAAGAATCCAGGACAGTGGACGAAACGTTCTGGGAAGGATGGCCCTGGTCCTTGTCTCGGGGTGGGGGAGGTGGGGAACTTGGGCGCCCGCTGACACAGCCCCAAACTTTCTCCGTGATGCTCCCATCATTACCTCCCACGACAACGTTCTCCCGGGGAAGAGAAAGGGAAGTGGCCGCCTGGAGTCCACTTGCACCCTACCAGGTGCCCTACCCCCCACCATGATCTGCTTTTCCTGTTTGGCACCAGAGGGGATCTAAGAGGCGCAGGGGTGTGTGGGGGGGGGAGGGGGAAGGAATCAGGAGACAAGTGCCCTGGTGGGACCCCAGAAATACAAGCAGGCTTGCTCCCCTGCTTGCGGTTCTGTCTCCCACCGAGAGGGCAGCGGTGGTTGCATCGGAAGGAGCTGGTAGGAGGGGGTGCGAGGATTGGAAGAGGAGGGAGACGTGGATCGTGAGGATGGAGTCAGGGGTCTTTGGTTCGGTGCCGATCGGGCAGCCTGTTGTGCACCGCGGAGGCGCCCATTGGCTTGGACAGCCCTTCCTGCTCTCAGCCCAAGTCTCAACTGAGTGCCAAAGGCGGGACAAGCCCCGAGGCGCGGGGACCTCCGGCAGCCGGAGCCAAGGTCCCTTGGTCTCCAGAGAGCAGGCCTCGGCGTTGGGGCTTCCCCTTCCGTCCTCATCCAGTGCCTCTTCCCGCCCGCAGCCTACCAAAGCTCCGTGGGGATTCCGGTCCCACTGCGAGCCTGTCTGGGAAAGTCAAGATCGGCTCCTTAACCTGAGACCTTGTCAAAATAACTGGGGCGGTGGTAGAGGGAGAAGGGTGTCTTTTATTCTGTTCCATTTCCCCGGCTCCGTTTTGGAGCAACCCAAGTCCTCTTTCCCCAGGGGTCCTCTCCAGGGAAGCCGGTAGGAAGATCCGGCTCTCGGCCGGTCTGCGGGAGGCTGGAAGCTGAGAAAGCGCCCTGGTCTGGGATCCGACTGAAATCAGGATCCCCCTCCCTTCGTGAGACCCATTTGGGCAGAAGCGGTGATACTTTCTGCTACTGACGGCCGGAGGACACGCGGGGCTCCCTGCGTCCGGTCGGCGTGACGCGTGGCTCTGCTATAGCCCCGCCCGGGGACCGCGCGTCGGAGATCGGGGCTGCCCCGCGACGGCCCCGAACACTACTGACTCGCTGCCGGCTAAGATAGCCAGGGCAGCCAGGACCCGGAGGGCCCTAGTGGAGGCTGCCGGTGCGCCCCTGGGGACCGCGCGCCCTCCTCCGGCACGGCGCGGTCGGCGCCCTCCGGGGTCAGGTTCCGTGCCCCCAAACGCCACTCGGATGCTCTTACCGCGATAGCTGGTTCCAGGCTTGTAGAACTCGGGGTCGCCCTCCACGCGCAGGCTGAACTCGGTGTAACCTTCGCGCCGCGTGCCTTGAGCGCGCAGGATGCGGCTGCAGTAGCCCTCCGACTTGGTCACTTTGTCCAGGGTCTCGTCGGAGAAGGCCAGAGCTGCGGCCAGGGGCAGCGCCAAGGCCAGCAGCGCCAGAGTCCGGCTCAGCTTCAGGGAGACCGGGGACAGCCTCATCTTCGCGGGACCCCAACTTTGTGCCACGGCCGTCCGTCCTCGCGGCGCGACTTCCCCGCCTGCAGTGGTCCCGACCAAGGCAAACCCCGGTGGAGCCAGGGCCGAGAGAGGGAGCAGGGAGCCGACGCTGGCGAGTCGCGGATCGCACCCGCCTCGGCTTGGCGGCTGCCGCCGAGCTGCGCTGCGCTGCGCTGCGCTGAGCCGAGCGAGCAGCGCGAGCGAGGGCGGGCGGCGGCGAAGGAGCGGGAGGAGGGCGGGCTGATTTTGCCCAGATCCCCCAGCGCAGCGCTGTTTTGTTTCCGACCGGCGATTAGCGGGGCGGCGGTGTTTATTCTGCGACGCCGGATTCCCAGGGTCTTGCGAGGAAATTATAGGACACAGGAGACACGACGGGCTCTGTCCCACCGCCAACAGGGCTGCACCCCTACCACGTAGGGGACAGCGCTCCGGGGAGGTATAAGCCTGGACTAACTTCGGCGGTCCGACCACTCCGTGCATGTTGGCTGAGGTCTCAGCTCACCTTTCGCACTTTAACCTGTGCGCAATAAGCATCTCCTTCCTCCCCCTCGTTTTATAGCTAGAACTGCTGCGGCCAGTTAAGGCCCAACGTTTAAGGGCCTGGACTCCGGTTTCTTTGCTCTCCCCGTGGTGAGGCTGGGACAAGTAGAGACACCTGCGCCAAAGGAGTCCTCCATCTCCTAGGCCCAGTGGGTGCCACAGAACCGAGGCCCGGAGGACTTTTGAAGTTCTATGGAAATGTTTTAAAAGCAGATACAAAAAAAAAGTTTAAGTTAAACAGAATGTCCCACTAGGTGATATGAATATTTTTGTCTTTATGCCCACACAGTCATGTGATGTTTAACATCCTGTGATGAAGGAGCAAGTCCCAAAGGCAAAAGTGCCTGTGGCCGATGGAAGACAGCCAGGAAGGGCATTCCAAGAGATAGGGAGAACCTGTGCTTCCTTGGCCTACATTTGAGTTCTCTGTGCCCAGGGACTGCACGATTCTGAGTCGTCCCTGGGCAGAACCTCAGGCACCAGCCAGGCCTAGAGGGCAGGTGCCTTTTGCTTGGGAAGCCAGTCTTGCCAGGACCACTGTCTTGGGGCGGGGGAGCCTGCTGGAGTTGCCTGAGCTCATTCTCACCTCCTCCCCCCAGCAGTGATGGGGACAAATGCCCACTTCCGGTGTGGGGAAGGGTGCCTACATAAAGCACTTGCAGGGTCCAGCAGTTCTTTGGAGTTTCTGGGTTGGATTCCCGCCTTGACTATGGGGACTCCGGTGGGCAGCTAATGCAAACCCTGCTGCCCAAGCAGGTGATCTGGCTTGAGTTCCTGGCTCCCAGCTTGGGCCTCACCCCAGCTGCATGTAGTTGAGGCCATCTAGAGTCAGCGAACCGAAAAGAGCATTCACTGGCTTGCTCTCTCAGCCTCTCAAATACAACATTTTAAGTCATTAAAAGCAACAACCACCATGACCACCACAGGCCCCTTCTCACCACCCTCGTAGGGACCCCTTAAACTCCCTGCCCATCCCTCGCCTCGAGCGTGGCAGGTGCCTGTGCACATCTCTCCCAGGCGCTCTTGGAAGCTTTGGTTTCTCCTCCCTACCTTCCCCAGGTAGAGGAAGTTACCTTCAACTGCCTACCTGTAAAAAACAGCCCCCCACACCTGTGCTTGCCAGGCCCAGCTTGCTTTCTCATGCCCCTCCCTGCAGCCCCGAGGAGCCTCGAGCTCCTCGCTGCTTCAGAAGTCTCGGTTCTTCCCTGACTGCCCAGTTGCTCCTTTGCCCCGCTGCAGTAACTCATTGCTGCCATAATCTGGGCCCTTTCCTTCAGACATCAGCCCAAAGCAATTCCTGGCTGCTGTGGTCCCTACTTGAAACTCAGCAGCCTCTCCCGGGGATGACCAATCCTCTTAGACGAGGTATCCTCAAGCCCACACCTGTATGCTGGGGGAGTTATTCTTGCCAGGGCAGGCTCAGAGCTCACACTGCACTCCCGTAGGCATCGTCCCACACAGCCAGCAAACTTCACTGCGTGTGGATGTGGAGCCAGGCTTGTGGATTCATGTTGAAGGTGCTCAAAAACTCAAGGCTGGCATGCGAGACAGAAATCTCAATTGCCTTTGCAGGTCTTCCACAACACAGGATGGAGGGCAGGGAAGAGAAAAATAGGAAGCAGGTAATTGCAGGAATCCTTGCCGATTATAATAGGGATATAGATCACTGACTAAAGTTAAGTGGTTCCTGAGTGTGTGCTGGATCTTCTCCCAGAGGGCAGCTCGTGGGAGCTGAATACAAGACGCCCTTGTCTTTACAGAGCTTGCGCTCTGTCCAGTAGGCCCAGTGTGTGCTCTCCAATGTCTTTTCATCTTCATCAGTATCCTCAAGTGCAAGGTGGAGGTGGGCAGGCCTGAAGCCTGCAGGGACCTAGAATTTCATCTTTCACCCTAACCTTGACAGGAGGACCAAGAGAAGGAGTCTCACCCCTCCCCCATTTCCCACATTAACGATGTGTCAATCATCTGTCTAGCTAAGGTGCTAATAAGGGAAAGAGTCAGGATTTTAAGGAGTCATGGCCAACATCAAAATGATGTACTTCCCTCTACTTGGGGTTGGTTCCTTTGTCTGGGCTGGGCCAGCACGTTCTAAATGACCCCCTCTACCCCCGGCCCTGGACTCCGAACCCCACGATGCCAGCTAGATTTTCCTACTGCAGCTGGGCTGGCACTTCAGGCTTCTCTCAGCTGCACACACAGCCAGCCTCTCACAGTGTCATCAAGGACCTCTCGAATCTGTCTGCCCCTCCCCTCTCCTCCACCCAGACCAGAGTGTCAGAGTTACCACCTCTTTCGTATTCCTAATTGGACTGCCCCTGTCTGCACCGAAGGAAGAGGCCCGAGTGATCTTTTTAAAATGCAGATTTGAATGTCAATCCTGAGGTTAAAATCTCTTTCCAGTGCACTCAGAGACAGACTTTCTACGGGGCCTCCCAGGGCCTTGCTGCATCTGCCTCTCAGCCCGTGCCCCTGTGCTCTCGCTGGCCCCAGCCACCACTGTGTTTCTGCTTTGTCAACTTGTGCCTGCGCTGCCCGCTGTCCGCTCTGCCTGGAATCCTGCGATGAGCTTTCCTCTTGCCCACCTGCCACCTTCCAGCGGCCAACTCCTGCAAATCCCTTAGTTCTCCATGCAAAACTGCCTCCTCAGAGAAGATCTTCTTGATTGCCTACGTTAGGTCCCACCCCTCGTGCTCCCCTGGAATTCAGGACTTCTTAATATTCCTTAGATTTTGACTGATTTTTTTTTTTTTTATTCCTATACTCTACACTTGTCAAACTGTCTGTCTCCATCTCCATTCCTCACAAGTGCAGGAAGTGCCAGGCTCATCCTAGGGGTTCTGTGTGTGCGCCAAGGAAGCAGTCTTTAGCAACCCTTTCTCCAGCACCTTCTGATTCAGCCTGTTTTTCAAGTTGGCCTCCATAATGCCAGCGATTGAGCCCCACCTGAATTCCCGCTGTCACCCAGCTGGCCTCACTGGCCTGCCCTCTCAGGTTAGTCACAGCGGCATCACTTCCAGGACCAGGCGATCTAGGATGGTCCTCCCGCTGCTCCCTGTTTCACATCTCCTCTGAGGAAGAAAAACCTGTAGTGTCCTGCTCTGGGCTTCAGCACAACCTAGCAGGAGGAAAAGTTTCTCTCGTTGACTGCTGTGCCCCCACGGATGTGTCTCATCTCCTAGCAATGAATCCAGTTTACTTTCGGTTTAATTTCCTGTTCAAATGTTTGGGTCTGTGGTAAAATACACTGGACTTCAACAAAATCTCCTTCCCAGTTTTGTAACCTAAGGCAGAGCTGATGTTAGTTGCTAGGGTGTTGCTAGGGAAAGTCATTTAGCCAGGGCAGATAATTAACTTTATCAGTAGGTGTGGGTAGGTTGCAATAGAGAAGAGCTGGGGGCTCCACTTGTCCAAGAGAAAAAGAAAAATCTTTGATTGGTGGGAGGTAAGACCATCCATTGCCTATTCCCTCCCCCCTTTCCTTTAAGAGAGAAGGGAAAAGGATTTTCAAGGTCTTTTACTGAGGCTGGTCATTGAAACAGGGACCTCAGATGTTAACTTCAATTGCAGATTGCAAAACTCCATTCCAGACCTATTGAATCTTCATCTTGAACAAATCCATGCTAGTTTAGGGAACCACCATTTTCAGAGTTTGTAATTCAGCCTCATCTGTTTCTTCCATCAGGAAGACAGCAGAGCCATGTAAACTGGTTATAGGCAAAACTGGTCCTGGTAATGCCCATCTTGCCTACATCCTGGAACTCTGGGAAATAGATAGGTTACTGAGATAATAACTTAGAGATTTCAAAAGAAATTCATGCCAAAAAAGACCCATCGAAAATATTGTTTTTGTTACACCTAACAATTTAGAACAAAATCCAGGAAGGTTATGATGTAGATTAAATTGCAAATCTTGCAGGAAGAACTTCTAGAAAAAGCAACCAGATAAAGAAGGAGTTGACTGGCACTGAGAAATCTGTGGGTCGCCTGTTGTGAGGATAAACTTGGAAACTTTCTGCATTCTAGCAAGTTCCCAGTTAACCTTATGAGGGATGATTACCAAGAGTGAAATGCTAAAGGCGTAACATATTAATTAAGCAATGTGCTTTCAGCACTTGCTGTGGTCTGGGTGGTGGCCAGATTACATGGAATCGCATTCCTTTCGGAATTCTGAAGCTCTCTGCACCCATCCCACCATTCCTCCCGAAGTAGCAGCTCCTCCAATTGCCCTCCCTTTCTGATCCTTTGTCTCTTCATTGTTACTCTTTGCTCAGATCTCTGGAATGTTCTACCTATTGCATCCAGATCAGCATTCTAGAATAGCTTCCAAGAGTCCCTCTTACTTGAAACGCATGGCATTTAATGGATGCTTCCTCACCCTCTCTCCACCTGCCCCTGCCATCCATAGCCTCCAGTTCCCACCCTGGAAGCTACAGAGCACTTGGCACCTGGCTCACTCATTTTCTGCCCATCTGGACTCATGGTACAGACCTTGGAGATCCATCAGTCCGAGTTGATCATTCAGTCCTTGGTCCAACCTCCTCTACTCCAATGAACTTGGCCTCTGGACAGACATTTGGAGCTGCCGACCGCTGTGGCTCCTTCTGCTTTTAGTTCTCCCATTGCCTCCTTGCCTTGCACGGAATCCTCTGTTG